AATGGCTGAACAGAATCGTGGAGGTCGACGACGGCGGAGTCATGAGGGTAGGGAACGTGGATTCGTTCCTGAAGAATATAGACAACTGCGTCAGATTGACCCGTGAGATATAGAAAATGAAGAGCTCGGAAGGCGGATCCAGGATTTGAAGCGACAACCTGAGCAAGCGTTGGATAAAAAAATCCAAGTTTTGGAGCGACTATGTGTGCACGCACAGAGAAAGGTAATTCAAGATTTGGAGCGACGACCAGTGCGGGTATGCATGAAAATTCAAATTTTGAAGCAAACTCTTGTGGAGGTGCAGAGCATGGAAATCCAATATTTGGAGCGGCGACTTGCGTGGACAAAGTTGGACATTCAATCCGAAGAAGGAATGAAATTAGATGATGCATCTGATGATGAAGAAGAGGACGTCAATCCCTTGGGGATTCTAAACCAGGGACGGAATTGGGAAGTACGACCTGGAAATCAGTCCACTTTTCAAGATATTGAGACGCAAATCAGCATTCCTGACTTTGATGTCTATGATCATAATCCAGTTTGTGATGATGATCCGATCTATGATGATAATCCAATTTATGATGATTATCCGATTGTTGATAATTATCTCATTTATGATGATTATCCATCTTATGATGAAGATTCAGTTTATTACGATAATCCAGTCTATAATAAATCTAATGGTGAATCAGATTATGAAGATCTAATAGAGGAAGATTTATCGTTTGAATTTTTGTCTAAAGAAATTGAGATCAGTGGAGATAAACAAGATTCGAGGACGAATTTTTTCCAAGCAAGGGAGAATGATGCACTTATAGATGACCCATTGATTCAAGAAACTCGTAGTCAATTAGAATTGTGGCCTAATAAGTATGGCCCAATTGTTGAAAGAGACAATGATTTGAAATATAACAAATTACAATCGAATCCAAGTCCCAAAAAAGCGACAGATGTGATTGTGATTCGTTTGGGAAGAAAAGAAAAGCAACATATTTGGCGTAATTTGAGATTAAAGATTTGGGATGTATTTTGAATTTTTTATTTGTAATTTTTTATTTATTTTTAAATGTTAATTACTGTTATATTTATTTTAGAAAGTTTTATTATTTTTAGAATTTTAAATTCAGAATTTTGAATCAATTTATAATTAGTCTATAAAAGGGTGCTTATGACCTCTAGGAGTTGAATATTTTTTTATTTTGATAATTAGAATTGAGAACCAGAGGGTTACTCTTTTATGAAATCCTAACTTTTTGTTTAGCCACTTTTCTATGCGCTTTTGGGTATCATTTGATATTTGAGCAGTAAGTGATATTAAGAAGGCATGAGAAGTTATTATCCTTCCAATAGACTCAAAAAAATCCCCCCATTTATTATTATTATTATTTTTAAAATATAGTGATTGGGCCCAGCGACGGACCTACTCAGTTGCCACTGACCTCAAGTGTAAGTTTTTTTTATTTTATTTGTCATTACAGAAAAATTGCATTTAAAACTTTGGGTGGTCTGTGAGTGAATAAAACAGGAAAAAGAGTAGGGGAGAGAATGAATAAAATTGTTCAACTTTATGTGAATCAATAATAGGTGGTCACATGACAACTTTGTTTTCATTGCTTTGTGCGAATGAATAAGAGGTGGACACATTGCAACTTTTTGTGGATGAATGAATACAAAACCTATACTTTTTTCCGTTTTATTCATTCACAAACTGTGAATGAAAAGCCATATATTGCAACTCTTTTCTCAAAAAAAAATTTAAAACTTTCTTTTAAAAAAAAATTGGAGGGCAGCTCAACAATAAATATATAGATATAAATAAAATTTTTTGGATCCACTATAATCCCCACTTAAAATATGTGTATGTAGGAAGTGGGAATAGTTCTTCTGCAACATGAGAAGCTTTTCCCACTATTAAGAATGGAAAAAATATTGGTTATTTTATTTTATTTTTTTGATAACAAAATATTGGTTATTTTAAAGGATCAAATTTTGTAATATTTTAAATGAAATTATTATATTTTGGTGTATATTTGATAATTTTTTAAATTCTTTTTTCCTCCACCAAAATAGGAGAAGAGAGAAAGAGAAAGTATGATGAAGGAAAAAAAATGTAAAAAATCACCATAATACAGTAATTTCGCTTAAAATGGTATAAAATTGTTTAAGATGACAAATTTGTTACCCAATAAGTATTTAATTTTTCATATATCCTTTAAAACAAAATGGTTGATCTTAGTTACTCTTATAATTTTCTTAAAAAAATATGGTTATTATATAAATGTTATATTTATTATAAAATAACTTTGTAAAATTTTCATTTTAAAATATAAATGTGACTAAAAAAATGGTTCCAGGAGGAGTTTTCTCAATATTTTGTAAGATTCTTTGAGAAAATTGTGGTCTTATAAATTAAAAACAAATACTAATCTCTGCAATTATCAGCTTTGGATGGCTATACTTTGAATTTGTATTATTATTATTATTTTTAATTAAGGGAAAGACCTCTTTAACATGCCCATTCATATACCAAACCAACGAGAACACGTGGATGGTAAGAAATATACCAAACCAACGAGCCACTCGCGAAAACAACATATAGCGTGCTTTTAATTAAATATTCACGAGGTATTAGTCGTTGCCACGCGCATTAATCACGAACCGTACCACGCTGTAAGAGGCAAATCGCACAAAGGAACAAGTGTATGTCGGCTCTTTAACCAAAGGGGTTTTTTTTATACCCCTTTAATTTTCTTATTTGATATTTGATTTTTGGTATTTGTACATTCATATTTTTTTTAAGTGAGTGTCGCGACCGTTTAGAGAACTCATACGAGTGTGTCAAGTGACATAATTTTGTTATCTTAAATAATTTCGTTAATGTTAAATTTCGAAAGGTCATAATTTTTAACTTGGGAATCAAAATTAGAATATTTTTTATTTCAAATAATTTTTTGAGATGGTAGAAACCCTTGACATATTTTATCTCTCACAAACATAATTCGAATTTATAACAATGGTATCACAATCACAAGAAAAATATTATGAAAAAATGTGCGAGCAAAAATGGAGAACCCACATAGTAAGGATAAATGATAACATGTTGGACAACTCTTAACTATTGTCTTGCATAGGTGCTGCTGCAAGCCTGCAATTCTACCTCTTCCCACCAAAATTTGGCAAACATCATATGTTATTATCCTAACATAGGGATAGACGATAACTTCAGAGGCATCAAGCATAGCCAGCATGTTATCGTCTATTCCTGCTTTGTTCCTTCTTTCCCTATTGCTATTGCTAGGATTCTCCATTTTTTCTCCTACATTTTCTTCATTTTATTTTCTTTACAAAACTAAATTTTGAAATTAACTATTGTCTCGCACGTGTTGCTGCAACTTTAACAGACAAAAATTCAATTAATTGAAATCTCAACAAAATTGTTTGGAAATCGAGGAAGCTAATGTGTGTGTATATATATATACTCATCAAAGTCATCAAAATACTTAAAGTACAATTCTAAAATATGTTTGTGGTTGTGATATCATTGTTACAAATTTGAACTATGCTTGTGAGAGATAAAATATGCCAAATGAAATGTCATTGCATAAATCTCAAAAAATTATGTGAAATAAAAAATCTGATTTAGATATCCAAGTAAAAAATTATAGTCTTTCAAAATTTTACGATAATAAAACTGTTTATAGTAAGGGAATTGTGCCACTTCACACAATAGTGTGAGTGCCTCACTAGGGGTCGCGGCACTAAAGGACCCCCTTTGATAAATATTGGAAGTGAATAACAAATAGAAAAATTAAAGAGGTGAAAATCCCTATTTGGTCAAAGAGCTAGCGTACGTCGGATGAAATATTTGAAGATCGAGTTAATTCAATAAATTTTTAAAAAAATGCCTGCAAAAACAAAATTTAAAAATAAAAAAATTTAAATTTGATTTTTTATTAAAATATAAACAAATACAAACCTGAATTGTAAATTCATCTACTATTAAAATAATATTTTTTTAATCTGTTTATACTATCCATATTTATTTTAAAACTTTTCTATTATATGTAGAACCAAATTTAATTTTCTTTCTTTAATTTAGACATATATTATTGGACTGATAATTCATTTTAATTTTTTTTGTTTAGGTTAATTTTAATGAATTTGTTTTCAATATGTTCTAATGAATTTACGGTTTTTTGTAAATGATTTTCTGATTTTTTTACCACAATTTTATTACCATTTTGGTTTATCAATTCAGAGAATTTTTACAAAATAAAAGAATGAAATATTTCACTTGCTACAAATACACTTTGTTCCCTTTATTTTTATTTTTTTCCAAATGACTCTTTCAACTTCTTTTAATTAAGTCTCATAACATCTTTTTCTTTTTCTTTTTTGATAACAAGTCTCATAACATCTTTAACTTTTATTTGAATTGAAAACATTAACCTTTTCATTAACTTTAACAATAATGGATTAAAAAAAGCAAATTCTAAAAAATAAGTTGAAAAAACATTAAATCACAATAGAGAATAATGTTTAACGTAAACAATAAATAATATGGTTTCCAATTCAAATTAAAGTCAAGAAAGTTAAAGCAGCAAAAAAAAATTTAGACAAAAACGGTGAGAAAAATAAAATAAGCGAGACAGAAAAGGCAAACCTGTTCGCAGCCTACAAATAAAAATAGAGTTTCTCTTTTATCATGTCACACGAGATAACATCTCTTATGCTATAGACACAACAAATGATAGATCTCATCACTTGTTAAAAAAAAAAAATTAAAAATAAAATAACATGAATTTTGATACTTCAGAATATAAGAAAACAATCTTCACCAACATTAAAAAATAATTTCTCATAAAAATAAGGATGGTATGATATTTGTTATTTTAAATATGAGAAAAATACAAATAATAAAATTTATGAAAAAAATTAAAAAATTAAATGAAAAATATTAATTTATATTTTTTTATTTAAAATAATACAATTTTACGTCGTATAAAAGAAATATTTTTCCTAAAAATAAATGACGAAAAAGATAAGATAACACGCAACCGGTTCGTGTCGGCAAAGAATAGTGCAATGGGATTTCATCATTACCGTCCAACTGTAACCTCAATGCACCGACAATTCATTTGCCCCTCTCTTTCTATTCATACACGAAAAAAAAGGCAAAAGTAAAATTTAAAATAAAATAAAAAACAAAAATAGTAAAACTGTAAAGTGTCTCTTTCGGTAAACAAGACATAAAGGAGAAAAACATAACGCAGTGCCTGCGAGTGAAGTTGAAAAATCTGAAACCCTAAAACACCCCCTAACAGAAACGACCATCGTAACGAGTGTCGTTAACATTTGACGGAGGAATCTCGAAGTGCCAAAGCCTACCAACGCCCTTCACCATGTTCTTCCTACAAAGGAACTCCTCCGCATAAACCTTCTCCACCTTCCGATCCACATCGTGCAAGAACACGTGCGTCACGCCGGAACCCTTTCTGTTCCTCGCCATCACCGCCATGGAAAATATCGCCGCCATGCGACCGGGAGCCTCCGGAAAATACCCTCTAGGCGCATCGATCATAATCAGGTCCCACTCTGTCTCATACACCTCGTCGGGGAGGTTGTGGAGCGCTAACTTACACCGCTCGTTGCCGCGCAGGGCAGCGCTCGACGGCGAACACGCCGGCTCGGAGCGGTACGAGGAGAGGAGCTCATCGGCTTCGCGGAGCTGGGTGCGGTAGCGCACGGTGGTTGCTCGGAGCTCCGGCGCGTCCTTGAGGACGGTCTGGACCCACTTGGGGTCCTCCTCGAGGAATAGCGTGGTGCCACGTGGATTAAAGCTGGCCCACATAAGAGAATCGTGTCCGAGACCGAATACGAGGAAGTTGAAGGGTCGGTTAAGGGATTTGAGGACGTTGAAGGTGATGCTAATCTCGGAGAATGATTGTTGAGGAACAATGTGCGAGGTTGCATAGTGGAGTATTGCACGAAGCTGCATCGATGTGGGACTGTAACCATTTTTTATCATGGTTTTGGGGCTTGTGAGAGAGCATAAGAAGGAAGAGTTATCAGGGGTTTGAACCACACTCGCTATGAAAAGTGATGCTCCGATGATGCCCACAATAACCATCACCCCCACGAACCATCGTAGCTGAGAACGATTCTTCATTCTTTCATTGACTTGCATATTCTCTCGCTTTTGCTATTTCTATATAGTGTATACTGTGTGTTGGTGATGAATAATTTGAGGGGTGAGAGAATGGGATAGAGTTGGCGATTATTTTTAAGGCAATTAGGCCTTCACGTTTGCCTAGTGCACAGCACATAGTATACGCGTATGGGCACGTGTTGCGTTGGCATTGGGTGGGAGAACTGTAGATTTTTTGAAATTTAAAAAGTGATGTCGTGACTCGTGATTGACAAAATGTTTTGGTCAGCAAATATTTAAGCACCACGTGGTCCTACAGTGTTCCTGAACCAGGGTAATCATAATCATCCCTTATCAGCAATTCACTAATTCAATATTTATTTTTGTAATTGAAAAACAAAGACAGTTTATTTGATCCTATACGAGTTCCAGTCCAGGTACTCAGTTTGATTCTTTGACCGATTCAATTTATCTTCTAAAACTAGTAGTAGTTTGAAAACCAGCCCTGTCTGTCCTTCGATTCTAAGCTATATTTTACCAAAAGGATGATTTTTTTTATTTTTTTTTCACTCAATATCGAATCTTAACTCTTGCAATGTAATCAGGTACCTTTCACTGCGATTCTACTAACATCCTTCCAAATATTTAAATTAATATGTGCTTATTTTTACTAATGATATTTATTTAAGGGGTAGGATATGGCTTTTTGACCCTTATAACCTTTTATTAATAATTAATTACCAAATTGACCCTCATTATAAACTATTTCAAAAATTTAACCTCCCCAACAAACATAACACCGATCTGCTCCTGTTTGACCGTTGACCACCAAGCCTACCCGGGTACACCCCTCCCTACCCGGGTATTTTTTGAAATTTTTTGTCTACCCGGGTAGGGAGGGGTGTACCCGGGTAGAGTTCTTCAATCTGGGAAAATGTTTGAATTATTTACCCGGGTAGGGAGGGGTGTACCCGGGTAAATCTCTGTCAAAAACCCCAAAATGAAATAAAACTCAAGAGACTAAAATGAAATCTCATTGAACTCAAGAGACTGCTACATAGCAACTCCTATAGCACTTGTAAGTTTACTTACATTAACAGTCATCACCAGGAATTCTAACAGAACTCGGAAACTGACACCAGGCCTTGGATGCAAAATGAAGCAGGAGGAGGCAGAATAATGCATGGCCTCTGTCGAATAGGTTCAGAAATTCACACATCCAATGACAAGAAGCGATACCTGTTCAAAAACTGCAACAAACTAGATTAGGAAAAAATTGTATGAGGAACAAGTACAAGAGCAGTAAAGTTGAAAGGTACCCTTTTCTCAGAAGCATTCATTCAAAACCAAACTTGCAAAGAAATCAAAAAAAAGTTTAGAACTTTCAACCAACCCAAGATTTGAAAAAACCATAGCAAATGGTAGGTGACAATACCGTGGGAAGATGGGATAAAGAAATTAACATAAGATGAAGATAAGGAGGAGAAACCAATTTTGTAAATTGTATGTCTGTTGGCTGCTGCAGAGATCTAGGAGGGGTTTTGGGGTTTCTGGTGGAGATTTACCCGGGTACACCCCTATGTACCCGGGTAAATAATTCAACTATTTCTTATGTAGGAGGAATCAACATCTCAGCATGTTAGATTGTGTATATTAATATATTAATTAAAAAGTTTTTGGGAGAGATTATACTTACTACAAGCATCATGATGTGTTTGTTGGATTTATGTAGTTATTATAATTTACATAGTATGGATTTAATTGTTGGATCTGATGAAATATATGTTATTTAGTTTGAGCATTTTGATTTTGAAAGTGACTTAAATGCAGATTGTATAAGTTTTGTAGTGATTCATGATTCTGTTTTGACATTGAAATTATGATTTTTGGTTTAGCAATAGAATTTTAGTATTTTGTAAAATTGATTCATGATTCTGTTTGGAAGTTAAAAAATAACAGGCTAACGGGCTAGACCAGGCCATTTGTTTTTTTTTATAAACGGGTCAAGTCAGGCTAACAATTAGACTCGTACTAGGCTTAGACCAGGCCAAATTAAAAATTTTTGGCGTAGGTTTAGGCTTTTCGGGGTAAAACTTGACCCAGTCCAGCCCACTTTCACCCCTACTCATTACTATAAGATTCTCCGTTAATGTGGTGATTATAAATCATAAATAGGGAATAATTGTATCATTAATGTTAACGGTTAGAAAGTTTAAAATTCAAATCATCCATAAATTAATAATTTACAACATTAATTTGATTTTATACATTATAACAGCTTAACAATAACTATTGTTAAGGGTTAGTAAGAAATCATGAGAAAATTGCAGTTATTCAAATAGAGATTAATCTCACAAATTAAGTTTGAGAATATAATAAAAGTAACTATCTATAAAATTAATTACAAATTAAATGTTACTAATATATATAAGAGGAACACATCTACTTTTATATAAATATATATATATATAGATAAAATTATTTCTGCAATCGCTTTACGTACAGCAACGACAAGTGCATGATTATGATTCCTCATATTTAATGCTTTCATCTTTTATATGGTTATGATTCCCCGCGTTTAATGCTTTCACATATATATGACAACTATTTGATTGCTGCACCTACAGCAGTTGCAGAAATGTAAGTTACACTCTCAATATATATATATATATATATATATATATATATATATATATATATATATATAGGGTCAGGATCATTTTACACTAGTGTAAATTACACTCTCATTCTTATCCGTTGATCTCACTTATATCTAACGGCTCAAATTTTTTATTAATGTGAGCCATTGGATACAAGTGGATTAATGATCAAGATTGAGTGTAAGACTTCTAACTCTTACACAAGTGTAAGAATATCCTGCCCCATATATATATATATATATATATATATATATATATATATATATATATATATATAAGGAAAAATATTTCTCCGGCAACTTGAGATAAGTTTATCTCCGGCCATCCAAAAACTACGTCGTTTTGTTTATTTATTTCCTTATATTAATTGATTCACTTTTGAATGGTTATGATTCTTTTTTTCTCTCTCTTCCTTTATTACCGTTGATTTAACTTCGTACGATTATGATTTAATAGCCGGAGATAACTTTATCTCCGGCAGCTTGAGAAATGATAAGCCCATATATATATATATATAATTTTATCACATATATACTTTGTAAGGTAACACAATTTTTATGGAAAAAATATTTGTCCTTTCAAATGATGTATGGAAAAAACGTTTGTCCTTGTAAAGGATATGACGTTGTGTTATTTTTTATCATTGTCCTTGTAAAGGATATGACATTGTGTTATTTTAGATCATAATCGTTGATTTCCGTCAATCAATGGTTACAATTTGTTTGATCAAATTTATTGGGTCAAATTAATTAATAATAAGTTTGACCTAATAAATTATAATCGTTGATTGACGAAAGTCAACGGTTAGGATCTAAAATGACACAACATTATATCTTTAAAAATTTTGTCACATATATACTTTGTAAGGTAACACAATTTTTTTTTTTTTTTTGATAACAAGGTAACACAATTTTTATAAGAAGCATTTTTCCATGCAAAGGAAGAATAAGCTAATGAAGATGATTGTGTAGGCGTAGAAGGGGGTTCTATTTTTTTATACGAATTTGACGTGAGTCATCGACATTGATCTTGTCCTTTTAGGTCGGAGGGTGTTTTTGATTTTAATTACTTATAAAAGATATTATTTTTGAAATTTTATAATAAAATTAGGGTTTAATGTTTATGCTCAACGTAGAAAAAATTTCTTTGTCATAACTCACTCATTTTTTTTATAACAGTGGAGGGCACGACCCATAAAAAGAAAAAACTACTATGTGTGATGTTGCATGTCAGAAACAACATGTTCCATTATCATTTTAGATCTAGTTACATTCAAAAAAGAAAAAATACTTACAGGAGGAGAAAAACCTAATTTGACTAAACTATCTGCACAAGCATTAAGATCTCTAAGAATGAATTCCGGATGACTGCAACCAAGCACTTGAGCACCACTTCTGATTCGATTCAGCAGTGAAGAGTAACCCAGTGAGCTGGTTGAGTCTCTAAACACAGTAAAGCATACTTTGAATCACAGCCAATCCATATATCGGAGCAATTCAGATTATTATCAAGAATTAAACCTTCAAGTAACCCCCACAGTTCCGCTCCTAAGACTATGCAAGGGCCAATATTTAAGGCAAAGTCACCTATCCAACCTCCATAAGACGAATAAATAAAACCACCACAAGCCCCTTTGTTGCTAGTAGAACTAAAAGCTCCATCAACAAACAGCCTGACATTAATTTGGTGGGTAATCTGCCCTGAAAAGCAAAAAGAGTTAGGCAGATCACATTTAACAAAGAAGGGAGCAGCTCGATTGCACTTCTTCATATAAGCCAGATAAAGGAGAATGTGGTGATTAAGATCTTCGGGTATAGAAAAATTTCCATCATGGATAGTAGAGTTTCTCCATTTCCAAAGAAACTAACATGTGTCGCATAAAAAAAACTTCTTTCCAAGAAGGCCAACAAGAGAAGATGGAGATTGAATTTGAACCAAGTTTGACCATCCGAGGAGAAGAAAATAATGGAAATGTTTCCACCAAACCATCTATCCCAAATATTTATAGCAAAACTGCACTCACGATGGGTGTGGATGAGTGTAAAGTTGTGGCAAGAAGGACAAAGTTGATCACCTTCACTATAATAGCAAGTTCTGTCTCTAATCGAGAGTTTGTTTAAATAAGTTACAGTAAAGGCAAAAACATTTTTCCTATAAAATTAAGATCGATAAATTATTTTAGATTGAAATAAACTAATTCAAATACAACGTTGAAAAGATAAAACAGATTTCTGAGTGAGAAGAAATTTCAAAAGAAATTAGTTATTTGCGTTGAAATTTCAAAAATCGTCTCTTCAAGAGTTCAAGTGCGTCACAACTTATATTATAACGATTGAAAGAATAGTTAAACCTTAGGAATCTTCAATGGAGATGGGCGCTTTGACTCTATCTACAGGATGCAGAAATTAATTAATAGATGCATATGGGTTCTGGTTGGATTATGTTTTGAATGAACTGTTTCATCTATGCTTCTTCTTTTTTAACAATTTGA